GTTGACGCAGTACACGAGACTTCGTCTCTCGTTTCGAGTAAAAACGTGCTGAGCTTTCGTATATCATATGATGGACTTCATCAGAGCTAGGTTTCATTCTTGTAAAAGTCTCACGTTAACACTAAAGCAAGAACACTATCCGGCTCTAACTTACTTCTTATATAGACTGAATCGAAACCAAGTTTATCTTCGTATCTAAATAAAAATAGACATTAAATAGGCAAGCAAAAGCAGGATTCTGTTTGGTTATTATGGCCACATCGAATCCCTATTCGTATCTCGGGAGAAGGATAGTGACACTTCAGTTCGAATATGGAATATAGTATAACTAGGAGATCGGTCTATTAAATATACTACCAATTAATACGATGGCTATTTTACTTTATCATCTAAATTATAAAGGTAAACCTCCTTTTGGAAATAAGAATGCCCGTAACACTAACATTCATTTGGCCGGAATCCGGACTCATGAGAGGGCCTTGAAGACCTATAATCCTACACTTTTTCTTCACTTATTTCTTCACATTCATTTGGATAGTTTATTGGAATTTAAATACACTTACTACTACTAAACCAAATTTTCGATATTTACAGAAACTATTAAAATATATTTCAGTTAAATATTCCTTATGTTGGTGAAAGGGTGAATAGTAAAATGTTACATGAGAGTATGCCAATGCTGCTAGAAGAATAGTGATGAAAATTAATAACCATTATACTTATGAAGGTATATATATATATATCAATATAAATATGCATATATATCTTAGACTTACATAGCGTATGTATCGTTCTCTCTCATGCATTTCTTCTTCATTAAGTAATCCATTTCGTGAAGCATTTAATGTAAGCAGGTATATTAGTCGCAAAAGAATGACACCATCACTCAGGTCCGAAAAAAGGTCCTCTACCAATAGACTCTTATGTGTCAAAGGGCAGCCCTGTCTTTGATTTGGTCGCAAATCAGGTTCAGCGTAGCCACCGCCATAGTCTGCAACATCATCATGATCGTTAATGCCACCTCTCTCGGAATCATAATCCCAGTCATATTGTTGCTGATTCTTGATTTCAAATTCGAGATCATCTTGGCAAACGCGTCTTGCCTTAGGCTCAGATTCCCAACCTTGGTGGGCCAAGGCGATATGCTTCCCTGAAATTGGCTTTTGTTGCATAGAGAGGAGCTGGATAGGCTGACCACATCTTAATAATGTCGATCGACTTAAGTAGTCTTCTAGCAGTAATCAAGCATACAAAATCAAAAAATTTACACAAATAAGTAAGGATTTCGAAGTGGATGATGATGCCAAAGATGAGTGTGATATAATTAGAACAGACCAGGCTGTTAACCAAAGAACTGATATAAAGAAAAGCTTACTTGCAAGGATGTACATCTCATCCTCGTATAAATTTGCCATGTAGGATGCGCCGGATTCCAAATAAGAATTAATCCATTTTGAAAATATACACTTTTGCATATACTCTCGCTCGACTAAGAAATATTAAAGAGAAAAAGAAAAAAATAAAGGGAATTAATGTGAACTAGATAACTGAAAGTAAAAATAAATAATTAAAAAACAAGATGTCTTAGAGTTTCAAAAAAAGCAAAGCTTTAAACATAGTTCGTTGGTAAAATTGTTCCATTACACCTCATTTATTCAAAGTTATGTAAGTAAATGTGCTTTCTCATTTTATGTGTTCTTGATCACCGAAACTTCTACAATAAGCATCGTTTTGGATAATTATCACGATATATGACTAATATTCACTCATTATAAAAGTATGACTACTAAACAAATATGTAGCCAAAGTAAAAAGTGAATGCTTATGAGTAGAATAAAGAAACTCGTTTTTCTATTATTATATGAGAGGCATTAAACAATCAACATAATAAAGACTCATTTTTTGTAACTATTACACAAACACATTGGCAGCTAAAGCTTTTAATATAAATTTAAAAATAGAGTAAATGAAGCATTAATTATTAATATCAATGGATTGAAAAACAGCCATATAGAAATTAATCAAGCCATACTGCTTAAAATTGAGTCAGTAAGACTCAACCATAATCCCAGGAATGTCCGTCAGAGTTCTAGAAAAAAAAAGTCATGTGAGACTCACACTTACTTCTGCGAATTCGTATATGGGAGATATGGTATCATTGATTATTTATATATATATAATTAGCAGATTAGCCAAATTTTAAATTTAAGCTAGTTTTAGTAAGTTTGAAGGGCATCAAAGGTAAATGTGTAAAATAGCTATTTTTACATAGATAGAGACAATAAATATATAGAAAAAACTAAAATAAATAGTAAAAACTTTGGTCTATTTCAGATAGGACTTTTAAATTTTAAATGAAGGTTACTTGATTTTTTTATGATAAGCTAGATATAATAATTATCTCTCCTATGCATTTTACTTAAGGGTAAATTAAATCTGCATAACTTCGGCTAATGAAAAATAGTGCACTTTATAAAAATATTGTATAACAATGATGAAAAAAAATTTAAATGACCGGTAGCCGACAAGAATAATCTGAAGAACAACTTAGTTCTCTATATCTCCAGTTCAATAATAAAATACAAAATTAGAAAAAATATTTAGTTTTCTTAAATATTTACTATATTGGTTAGAAAATAACGATGCTGAAAGATGAGGCAGGAAGAATGGGTCATGATTAATCCAAAGACAGATTAATATTTGGAATAGTTTATTGCTTTAAGTATATCCAAGATAAGCAAATAAAATAAATATAGTAAAGAAGTAATATAATAGAAAGGTTATAATATCTTATTATTATAAATTTTTGAAAACTAATGATATATAATGAACAGTTATTGGTACATAAATACATGTTTTAAGGAGAAAATT